ACGTGTTGCACACGCGCGTGCGCACCCCCGCCCCGACCGCTGCCCACGCGGGGCCCACGCACACGCGGCGGGGAACAGCGCGCTGCAGTGGGTGGATCCTTCTCGCGGCGCTCAGGTCCCGGCTGAACCTACCCTTCCTCATATCGTGCCTCAGTTTCCCAGTCCAGCACAGCCCGGCGGTCGCTGAGATTTTCACCCCCCACCCCAGCAAAGCTGAGCCCTTCCCGGAGCTGGAGGGGAGGGGGAGAACCCAAGCGTGCATCCAGGCTCCCAGCGGTACTCTCCCGCAATGGAAGGGGGCAGGGAATACCCCAGAAAGCACCCCCTGCCCCGTGCCCATGGATGCGAGGATTACAACACCCCCCACACCCCCGGTAGCCTGTGGTAGAAGCCCCAGTGGCAGGAATAGCAACCCCCTGCCCCAGGGCTGTGGTGGGGTCTGGGAAATGGTTTTGCTCCCCTGGAGGAACTGGGCCAGATATGGCGACAGTAGGCAGAGATGCAGCAGGAGCCCCTTCTTTCTGGGGTAGGCACTGGGTGGGGGGGGGTCCAGGGCTTGGAAAGGCTGCAGGTTCAGAGTGAGGGACACTTGCAAAGCAAATGGGACAGGGGGCTGCAGGTCCAGAGTGAGGGGCATTAGGAGGATGGAAAAGGCCTTGGGGGTTTAAGGGTGGCAGAAAAGTACGAAGGCAGCTAAGGGGAACAATGGGGCTGGGAGCTAGTGGTTCTAGCAGAGCTGCAGGTTGGAGGGGGGTCTGTGGTGCCCCTCGAAGGAAGTAGGCAGCAGGCAGATGGGCACGGTTACAAACATGGGCTTTATTACATCAGCTGAGGAACAGGCCTGAGCACCTCCAGTCCCCACTTCCACCAAGTCCCCCAAACAGGTGGAATCAAGTGTGTGGGGCCTTGAAGAGCCCCGTCCTTTCCTCCCAGCAACCCTGAGCTTCTGGAGGAAGAGTCCAGGCTTGGGGGTAGCTACCCATGCTGTCCCCCCCACCCCACAATTCCTTGCTGTCTCCAGCAGGGATGCCCACACTCACACAGGGAACCCAGGCATCTGGGGCACACAGGTGCCCATGCCCTCCCCCACCCCCCCAAAGTTTCCCAGCCCCCTCTTTCTGGGGGGGTAACCAGTCCCCTCCGACCCAGAGCTGCCCCCTCATTCCAGACCAACCCCCTATTACATGCTGCCTGGGTGCATGACCTGCCAGGGGAGCTGGGAGCCTCTTACCCCCTGCTGCCCCCCCACCCCGAGCGAGACCCCCACTACCAGGGGGTCAGACTTGGCTGGTGACAGAGCGGGCAGCCAGGAGCACGTCGGGGGGTGTCAGCAGCAGGCTCAGCCGGGCCTCAGGGGACAGAGATGGCCCCAGCTCCGGGATTCTGCAAGGGAGAAGGGGTTAGTAGGGGAGCCAGAGGCCCCCTCGCCCCACAGGTAGCAGGGGTCATCCCCTAGGGGACCCTCAAGGCAGCCCCCTCCTTCCCTCTCCTTTCCCCTGGGGGTGTGGCCTCCCTGGCAGAGGGCATAGCTAAAGGGGCACAGGTACTTACGGGTAGGCCCCTCCGGGGGGGACTATGCGCAGCTGCCGCTCCAGCCCCCGGGTCAAGAGGGTGAAGTCTGGCTCATCCAGTGGAGGCCGGACTCCCTGCCACCCACCAGGGAGGAGAGAGAGAGAGAGAGAGAGCACATGCACAACAGTTAGGGGGGGTAGGGGGTACCCCCCCAACCTCAGGCCTGCCCCCCAGATCCCAGCTGCTTGGGGGAGGCAGGGGCCAGGCAGCATAGGTGATAGAGCCCCCTTGACCCCCCAGTGGAGGCCCCTGCTGGTCCCACAGAGCAGCTGCAGCCGCATGGCACAGAGTGGGTAGGAGGGGTGGTAGATGTGCTGCTCCCTCAAGGCTCCTGTTGTGGGGGAAGGGAACTTAACAGGGGTCCATCCATACCTGGGCCACACTGAGCTTCTCCAGGGGGCTGTGGGGGCACGGTGAGACCATGGCTGGAGCCTCACCCCCCACTGGCCCCAATTCTCGGCCTTGGCGCCCTGCCAGCCGGCTGCCAAAATTGTTCACCACACACGTCACCTGGTGGGGGGAGTGAGAGAGGCCCCGTATCAGCCCCCCAGCACAGAACGCCCCCTTATCAGCCCCCACCAGCCAGGCCCCTCTGGCACAGAGCCCTCAGCCAAGCCTCCACTCACCAGGAAGGCAGCAACAGCGGTGCCAGTGAGGAAGCCGGCCAGGACGTCAGCCCAGTGGTTGCGGTGCTCTGCCACACGTACAACGCCCAGCAGGAAGGCGGGAGCCAGAAGTGCCAGGCACAGCGCAGGCCGTGCCAGCCGGGAGCCCCGTGGGCCCACCAGGGTCACATACATCTGAAGGTGAGGGGGGGCGGGCAGGCATCAGCCCCTCCTACTGCCCCCATCCAGGACTCTGCCCCCACCCCAATTCTCTCCCATAAGCACCCCAAGTCTTGCCCTTACAGTAGGCTGTATCCTGTCAACTGTAAAGCCCCACCCCCTCACCTCCTGCATTAAACTCTGCCCCTGACACCAAGCCACACCCTCTCATCACCCAAGGCCCACCCCCCAAGACCCCTCCTGCCATCTCCATTCCCAGGCTACGACTGCCATCAAGCTGCACCCTCTCCTCAGCCCAACGCCTCCATTTCCTAAGCCACGCCTTCTCCCTCCCCAGGCACCCACAGCTGCATAGACGCTGGCATAGGCGCCCAGGGCAGCGTCGCGGCAGGGGAAGGCACGGCGCGCAGCCCTCACAAGCACGGGATCCCCGGAGCAGGCAGCAGCCACGTAGCGTGGCCCAGGCAGGTGGCAGCCGAGTGCTGTGAGGTTGGGGCGACAAACGGCCAGGAAATGTGGGGCCTGTGTGCCCGACACCACCTGCCCAGCGCCTGCGAAGATGGTTGTGGCAAAGAGCCCGAAGGAGAAGACACCTGCAGGGGGAGGCAGTCAGCAAAGCTGTGGGGCAGAAGTGAGGAGCAACAGCAGGGCTTAGGGAGGATGGGGCTGTGGGGCAGGAGGAAGAGGAATCAGTTGGGCCTGGGTGGGGGATGTTGAACGTGGATCAGGAGTGAGGGGCAGGAGCAAGGCTGAGGATCACAGGGAATAAGTGAGGAGCACCAGCAAGGCTGGGGGGCGGGGGCTGTGGGCCTCACCAAGAAAGCGCACAAGGCGGCGCAGCAGGGGGGTGAAGGCGCAGCAGGCCCCTGACACGATTGTCTCCTCCTCATCCCGGCGCCACCGGGGCTGGCGCACAAAGGCAGCAACTTCCCCAACCAGGATCTGGGGGATGGGGACAAGGGGGGTTAGTGCCTGGGGCCATGATCCCGCTGTACTCAGATCCCCAGACCCAGTTGCCAGCCCCCTGCCTCTGGCCCTCTCCTCCAGGCTGGGACAAACCCCAATACCCACCTCGGTGCCTTTCACTCCCAATCTGCAGCCCCCAACACTGCTGGTGCCCCTCACTCCTGACCTGGGGCCCCTGGCCCTGCTGGTGCCCCTCACTCCAGACCTGTAGCCATTGGCCCTGCACGCACACTCACAGCCAAGGTGGGCACAGCAGCCACAAGGGCATGCACCAGGCGGGGGGGAGCCCGGCTGGCAGCCTCAGGGCCTGGGTAGGGTTTGGCGACCGCGCCATCGTGGCAGAAGAAGCCCCGCTCATGCACTGGGAAGGTGTCGGTGAACTCCAGCTGGTAGGCCAACAGCACGGTGCCTGCAAGGATGCCCAGCTTGGGCGGGGAAGAAGGGCAGCTTAGCCCCCTTTTGATGCCCCGCCCCCTCGTGCAATAGCCCCTGTCCCTCGTGACTCCCCCTTGTGCAACACGGCCCCGCCCCCGAGTAACACGGCCCCGCC